TGGAGGCTGCCCGTATTTGTGCCAACAAGTACATGGTGAAAAGTTGTGGCAAAGATGGCTTTCACATCCGAGTGCGGCTCCACCCCTTCCACGTCATCCGCATCAACAAGATGCTGTCCTGTGTACATGGTGAAAAGTTGTGGCAAAGATGGCTTTCACATCCGAGTGCGGCTCCACCCCTTCCACGTCATCCGCATCAACAAGATGTTGTCCTGTGCTGGGGCTGACAGGCTCCAAACAGGTATGCGGGGTGCCTTTGGAAAGCCCCAAGGCACAGTGGCCAGAGTCCACATTGGCCAAGTCATCGTGTCCATCCGCACCAAGCTGCAGAACAAGGAGCACGTGATTGAGGCCCTACGCAGAGCCAAGTTCAAGTTCCCTGGCCGCCAGAAGATCCACATCTCCAAGAAGTGGGGCTTTACTAAGTTTAATGCGGATGAGTTTGAAGACCTGGTGGTCAAGAAGCGCCTCATCCCAGATGGCTGTGGGGTCAAATACATCCCTAATCGTGGTCCCCTGGACAAATGGCGAGCCCTGCACGCGTGAGAGTCTCGGTGCTGCCTCCACCTTACACCCACCACTAAGTCAACTTTCCATCCATGAAAAAAAAAGACTCAGTGGTCAACATCAATCCAGGAAGGTCACAGGCTCCATTCCCTGTCAGGGCACATGCCTGGCTCTGGGCTCTCTCCCCAGTGGGGGACAAGCAGGAGGCAGCCGATCTATGATGTTTCTCTCTCATTGATGTTTCTCTCTCTCTCCATCTCTCTCCCTCTTGTTCTAAAAAATCAATAAAAATTTTTTTTAAAAAGAAAGAAGAAATTGAGTATATGTAACTTTAAAAGAAAATGACCACTTGATAACTGAATATGACCACATGTGATTTTGGTGCCTTTTGAGTTTACAGTCACAGGGCAATGTAAAGTTTCCTAAATTGGGACTCTATATAAATGCTTTCTTAAGGCTCTAAGAGTTTTCATATTGGTTCCTTCCCACTCCCTCATAAGAGTCCACCTTCCTGGCCCTGGCCAGTGTAGCGCAGTTGATTGGAGTGTTGTCCTGTACATCAAAGGGTCAATGTGATTTTGGTGCCTTTTGAGTTTACAGTCACAGGGCAATGTAAAGTTTCCTAAAGTGGGACTCTATATAAATGCTTTCTTAAGGCTCTAAGCGTTTTCATATTGGTTCCTTCCCACTCCCTCATAAGAGTCCACCTTCCTGGCCCTGGCCAGTGTAGCGCAGTTGATTGGAGTGTTGTCCTGTACATCAGAGGGTTAAGGGTTTGATTCCTGATCAGGGCACATATGCAGGTTGTGGGTTTTATCCCCGGTTGGGGCACGTACGGGAGGCAACCAATCGATGTTTCTCTTCTCTCTCCTTCTCCCTTCCTCTCTCTCTAAAATCAATAAAAAACTTATCCTCAGGTGAGGATTAAAAAATAATAAAAGACAGCCTTTCTCTTTTGGACAGCTCTCATTAATGGAAAGTTGGCTAAGTTCTGCCTTATGGGGCTATGTAGAAACATAATCCTGTGTCATCCTAGGTAGTTGTTACATATTCTACAATTAATAGCTGGTTTCCTAAAATTCTTATTTTCTTCAAAGTAAACATTCCTGGCTTTCTGAGCACCTCATCACACTAGAATAGCAGGACTTTCCCATTTAGCTCTGCTGGCTCTTCCTACTCACCCGTTCTGACAGGAGCATTATAAGAAGGAAGTGGGGTACAGCAGGGCCCAGAGGGTGACTGAGGGATGTGCCTGTGAAGCTCTGCACATTCTGGAAATTGCTCTTTATATAAATACCTCCATTATCCCTTCATGGTTGTTACTGGGGACAGAATATAGTGGTGAAGAGAACAGGCTTCAGCCCTGATTGGTTTGGCTCAGTGGATAGCGTTGGCCTGCGGACTGAAGGGTCCCGGGTTTGATTCCAGTCAAGGGCATGTACCTTGGTTGCGGGCACATCCCCAGTGGGGAGAGTGCAGGAGGCAGCTGATCGATGTTTCTAACTCTCTATCCCTCTCCCTTCCTCTCTGTAAAAAATCAATAAAATATATTAAAAAAAAAAAAAAGAAAACAGGCTTCAGAGTCTGGCTCCCTGGTTCTAATTTTTTTAAAAAAATTCATCTTAGAAAAACACTGAGGTTGTTCCTTGTATGTGCCCTGACCAGGGATCGAGCCTACAACCTTGGCGTATTGGGATGACATGCTAACCAACTGCGCTACTTAGCCAGGGCCTCCCTGGGTCCTGGCTCTGCCTTTGCCTAGTGAGTGACCGTAGGCAAGTCAGGGACTTAGGCAAGTCTCTGAACCTGAATACCCTCATCCATAAAATGAGACAATGCACACAAAACACTTAGTAAAGTGTCTGGGACAGTCAATACCTAATAAAGTATTTCCCTTCCCAAGAAGCCTGCATTACTACTGTGATAATCAAAGGAAAACACAGATCAAGGCCCTTGCTGTGCTCCCAACATATCAGGTACCCTTTCTTCCAATGGGCCTAGGAAGACACGAGCCAGGTTGCATATACTCAATACCTTGGAGCACTCACGACATGTTAGGCTCTATGGGAGGAACTAGGGAATCAGGGATAAAACAAAGTCCGTGCCCTGGGTTCATTCCATGATTGGTCAGTACACAGACTAACAGTTACAGAATAGTGGATAAGAGAGAGGGGAACAGGGATGTAGCAGGAGCCTAGAAGAGGGACTCTTTAACCTGGGAAAGGGGTCCTGGAGGAAAAGACAGCTAAGCTGAGTTTTTACAGGGGAAGCAGACAAATGGGTGGATATTCTAGGCTGAAGGTGTGAAAGGCCAGCTGCCTAAGAGTAAGGTGCTTTTGAGGCACTACAACAAGATGGATGTGACTGGCCCAGCCGCATGGCTCAGTGGTTGAGCATTGACCTATGAACCAGGAGGTCATAGTTCAATTCCTGGTCAAGGCACATGCCCTGGTCATGGGCTCGATCCGGTGTGGGGCATGGCAGGGAGCACCACTTCACCAGGTAGTGAGTCACAGGCTGGGACACGTTTAAAGGAATCAGAATCGTATTCATTTGACCAAAATACTTGATGTATAAAGGAAATGGGTGCTCTACCTCATTTGTCAACAGACACCACCCAAGAAGCAGTAAGACTTAGTGGGTAGAAGTTTTAAAAGTAGTCCCTAGTTATAGGGTCTCAAGTCTAAACTGGAAATAGTATTATTGAGCAGTATTATCAGAACAAGTTAATTTTTATTTAAGTCACTGATAAGTAACATTCAAAAGCCAAAAAGTATAAATATCTAGTAAATAATAGTTGAATTTGTGTCTGCATCCATGGGTTATGCATACATGCATACAAGGTCTTTGGTTGATTACCTCCCACTCCCCCACCTTCCCTCCAAATAAAAATATTTTTTAAAATATTTTAAAGAAAAAGAATGATATGACTGGAGCTTAGAGTGTGAGGAGCATTTTGGAAGTTGAGGCTCGAGAGCTAGTCTGGAGTCAGACATGAAGGGATGTGGGTGCCATGCTGAGCAGTTTGGGCTTTGTCCTGAAGACTCAGGAGCCACTGAAGATTGTCAGCTGGGGAGAGATATGATCTACTTTTTGTTGGAGCAAGATGGCACTCTAGGAAGTCGGCTGGATGTTCTAGGGAAGAGTTTTTCCTCCTCTGAAGAAGAACAGGGCCAGGGGCACAATCATGAGATAAGGGATGGGGAGGTGGTCTTAGGCAGCTTCCTGTCTCCTCTGGAGCTCACTTTCAGGTAGGGG